ACCGGACACGATTTGGTAGCCGAGGTCTGTGACGTCAGCCGGGCGTGAAGTTTTCCCTTCACCATAGGCTTCACACACAAACCGGCCGAAGTTCATGCCAGGATAGCCCGGCTTGAAAGTGCAAAAATGATTAAATTTTGCCCTCAATAGATTCATTGCTTCATTTTATAACTAAAAACGTCCGTTATTAGGACTCAATGAAGGTAAAAAGTACTCAAAATCGAAGTTCAAGAAGATGCTGTCCGAGCACAATCTGGTAACATCACGTGACCTCTTTTAAGCAGAATGTATATAATTCAAGGATGTTATTACACGATTGCTGCCTAAAACATCATAAATAATACGTTTGTAACATTTATTGCTTCTGTTTAATCATAACATTGCAAAACGCAAAGTTTATCATGGAAGTCACGTGACCAAAGGTATAGCAGGGGTTGGGACAAGCACTCAAAGGATTTCAAGTTTTTTAATTAAATTATATAAGTTTCATGATGAAATTGAAAGAATGTATTTTTTCCTAATAAAATACAAATTTCCGTATGTAAAATATTTTCCTTATGGGCGAAATTCTCCATATAAGAAATGTCAGTGACGTCACCAGGGCTTTACTGGGCTTTACTCAAAACATCGGACCTACCTGTTTCTTATAGGTATCTTGAGGAATGCGTCCTTATCCCAGGAATGCGTTCTTATCCGACAATACAGCCACCCGCGGCGAGGCTTTGGTTTTTTACCAATCAGCTCCAACCAGCTCAGCTTTAACCAATCAGCTTATCTGACACAATCCGACGAGTCTGTCTTCTGAACGCTGATTGGCTTGAGTGTGACGTCATCGCTATGCCATCATACAGTAGGTGCCGTAGAGAGTATCAACATAGTACCAATATGTTAAATAGTTTTAAATACTTTTTCGCGAATTGTGCACTTCTGGCACCAGTTTTAAAAAGAAAATGAAAAATAATAATGTCAAAATGAAAAACAACGATATCTTCATATTTCACGAAGGTGGCCCTTTTCCTTTAAGCATTCCGAATGTTTTTGTGATGTTTTTTTGACGTTTTGATTTTAATTTTAGCATAAAATTTAAATTTTCACAAGACCCTTTACTGACTCTATATAGACAATTCCTTATAAAGGGAACACTTTGTGTGGAGAATATGGAAGCTGAATATGGAACAAGAATATATAATACTGAACGAGGCCGGTGTAAATAAATTTTCAAGACCGAGGTCCTTACTGAATTTTTGAACGAGGCCGAAGGCCGAGTTCAAAAATCAGTAAGGACTGAGGTCTTGAAAATTTATCACCGGCCGAGTTTGGTATGTATTTTACTGTATGCCAACGATAAATTTATTTTCTGGACCGAAGCTCTTAGCCGACTTAGGAACGAGACCATCCCAAAATGTTGGCTTAAGTGCATTCTGGTAATGCATTTTTGACCGTGGTCAATTTGCTTACACCAGTTATTACCACACCCCTCTGAGCCCTGATCGGCGGCCGGCTAGTACTCTTGCCGGCGCTCACATACGTGCACGTTACCCCGGCAACGGGCTATTGACCAATGAGAAGCGAGAAAAGTGTTACGTCACTGCGATTTTTCATATACCTGTGCCCCCCGGACGTGACGTAGTGTGCTCGCGCGCGTGCAGGGTCTCTGCGATCGAAAAAGAGCGCTAGCAGCGCGCCACTCGACGCCGTAATTGTCTAAAGCGGCGTGTTAGTATGCTTTATTATGAATGATGTGTGTAAAAGTGAGTTTTTATGTTGTTAATGTGGAGGAAATGGTTAGAATAAAAGAAGTTATTTTTATTTCTATTGGTTACAGTTTTTTCAAAAGATTTCGGTCTATAGCATTGATATTTACTGAAAATACCTTCGCTTGAATAAATTGCAGATATTTGGCAACTGAAGTGTTAGGTAAGCCTAAATGATATGTAAAAAGGTAAGAGACACCCTGATTATCATTTGAGAAACGAAAATACATGAATTTTCCTTATAAGACTCGCTCAATATGCTACTCCGCGGTTTATGCCCCGAGGGTGTCCGAGGGTTGCCGTTAGTTTGTCGTTGGCGCTCGGCTCGCGCGCGAGCCGACGTCACCGCCTGTGACGTCGGCTCGCGAAATACGTCATACCCTGCACACAAAATAGCCGGCTGCCGAACAGCGCTCTGGCTAATGTATTTGAATAGGCCAGGCATACAGTAAAACTTACGTGAGAACGGCGCATTTGATTCGAATGATCAACTCCGAAATTCTGTTCGGTTTAGGAAATTGTTACGTCCACTAACAGCGCGCCCAAAAGTGCGCCCATGTAAAATAATACAGCACGAATGCGTTGCCATGGTAAGTTGGATACAGACGCATTCAGCTTTTCACAATTTGAGCACCTTCTTAGAGTTTTCAGCGTGTCGCTAGTCGCTACTTAGCTCGTGGGTGATAGCAAGGCCGCATAAGTTAGGCCTTGGATAGGCCTTGGATAGGCGGTTTTTTGCAATTATCTGGAAGTGTAATTTTTAATTGGGCTGATTCAAGTTGGCAAGATAAAGTAACATAGAAACCAAAAGCTTACTCATAGGTGTACATAATACAATATCATATAATTGTGCTTTTATCAAAGTCCGAAGATCAGTTGGGGGAGGTTTGGTCAATGGTTGTCATTTTTAGCACATGCCATTTTTGGCAACCATGTGCTAAAAATGACAACGCTATCAGCTATTTTTAGCAACGATGAAGCCGATTTCACTCCTCAGCGAGGAAATCACGATTTTGGAAATACAAGCACTGATTTTGGAAAAGAAGTGCTGCCACCTGGTGCAAGAAGAAGAAACCAGCTTTAATATGGCCGTTGTTTGTATGGTAGTCCAACGTTGAAGTATACCCTTTTTTGTGGCCCGAAGTTGGAACTTTAAATTGAAGCATCCGAAAATGATCGATATTGATCGAAATCATGATGTTGATGAAAAAAATAATATGTTAAGTTGAGAGAGGAGGCCATTTTATCCAGATGCGGTGGTTTACTTCTTGAAATTATTTTTGCTTACGACGACTGCCATGTAATGAGGGATAATTAGCAGCCGTCATTAGCAAAAATAATTTCAAGAAGTAAACTACTGCATCTGGATAAAATGGCCTCCTCTCTCAACTTAAAATATTATTTTTTTCATCAACATCATGTTTTCGATCAATATCGATCATTTTCGGATGCTTCAATTTTAAGTTCCAACTTCAGGCCACAAAACAAACTACCATACAAATAACAGGCATATTAAAGCTGGATTCTTCGTCTTGCACCAGGTGGCAGCACTTCTTTTCCAAAATCAGTGTTTATCTTTCCAAAATCTTCATTTCCTCGCTGAGGAGTGAAATCGGCCTCATCGTTGTCAAAAATAGCAGAATCGTTGTCATTTTTAGCACGTGTGACAAAAATAGCACGTGCTAAAAATGACAACGATTGACCAAACCTCCCCCGACTGAGATAGTGTAAACTGAAACCGCTGAGGTTGAGGTGTTTCGCCAACAAATTTTGTAGTGATGCAACTGCTGTGCGGCTGTTTTGTAGCATATATTGAAGTCCAGTACCTATAAAAAGTTGGTCCACTGGAAAAAGGCCAAAGGTGGGTGGTAAGGCTATTAAGTAAGGTTAGGTTGGATTAGGTCTGGTCAGTTTTGGGCAGTTTAAGGATCATGCCTGTCCCGTAGCTCAGTTGATGGAGCATTAGACTCCAGGTAGTGAGAGCCCAGGTTTGAGTCGCTCTGGCGCTTGTTATTTGAGGCTCCTGACAGGGAAGGCCTGCTGCTGCTGGTGGGAGCAGCCACAGCCAGTTGAAGTCAGTTGAGTTGGACAGGGTGTGTCCGGCTTTAAGGACACATTAATTTTCAGCACCCATTTTTTTTTTTATAAATTTAGTCCGAATGGTTGAATGGGTGGATTTGAGGAATCAGAGCCCGCACTAAGCATAGCTTGTTGTGCTGACCCTGACCCCTCCACCCGATCGCGCAATTCCAGCTGTATGGCAGAATTTTGTCCGAACGTTTAACGTGCCCTCACGACTGGACACGGCCCCCTCCGCTCACTCACGTTACCTGGCTTCTGTGCGGCCCCTGCCACAGACACGCACGCCAATACACGTAGGAGCTAAATGTGGCCGCCCGCACCGGGGCTTGAACCGGGCTCTCACTACCGGCTAAGCGTCGAGTTCCGGCGCTTTAATCCACTCGGCCACGGAGGGGCCGAGTGGATGGAAATTCTCCTGTTACCCAGGATTGCGCAATCGGATGGTAGGGTTCAGGCTCTATGCTACAAGCTCTGCTTAGCATAGGTTCCAGCTCTGCCAATCAGTCTTTTATCTAATCAAATGAAAAATGTTCCTTATGCCAGATTTCAATGTGCAAGTTTTGTGCTTTTCCATTGATGTTGCAACCAGTTTGTGGGCTTTCAAAATTAGGCTGATTTCATCCCAGCTTTCTTTTTCTTTATGTTCTAGAAATCTTAAAATTAGATATTAATGCTTCAAAAGGGATGCTGGTGAAAACAGGGTGCCGGAGGCCCAGAGGGCATGTTTGGTCACGTGTGACGTGACGTGACTATTGAGAACTTCTCCTGAGGCCTCTTGCACCAAACTACCTAGCTAGGTAAAATCGAAAAACCGGTTTCAGAATAAGCTAATCTAACGGTGGTAAATTTGTTTGCAATAGCCCAATACATAATCCTACATGTGCTTGCAAAATTTTGCATGCAAATTGTTACATTTGAGACTTGGACTGGGTATACGATGCAAAATAATCCAAGCATTGGTGCAAGAGGATTTTGGTGCAAGAGGCCTCTGCTCTCGAAGCCTTCTACACAGCGATTGTCATGTGGTTTGTGCGAGTAAATTTCAAGAGCCTTGATCAAATCGGCCCAGGCACCCTGTTTTCACCGTCGTCCTTCAAAAGTAATGTTTTGCTAATAAAAAGGGCAAATTAAACCATTACAATAGTTGTGCTGATTGCAGGAATGTCACAATTTTTGGACAAAAAAACTGCAGTAGATGCTTCAATATAAATTAGATTGCATCTCCATTGGATAGACAGTCAATTTGATGTCACTCTTAAAAGTTTACACTTAACCCACTGGTGGATCCAGAATCCAGATGAAGTCTAGACTCAAGGCTGCAAAGCTTGGCATCTTGAATGTTGATGAGATGTCTTATGTGTAGGAACTGAAGGGACACTTGACCAGTGAATGGTGATATGGATTTACTGTGATGTGGTGCAGCTTTTGTGTGGAGTGCTGCAGCAGAACCCAACTTAGGATTTGGGACTGTGAACTGGCTGCTGCAGGACTGTCCAGGTAAATGATTTACATGAGATACCTGCAACGAATTGGCCAGGGAATAATTGCCCTTTAACCCGCGCACCGACGGGGGGGGGGGGGCGGATATCCGCCCCCCCCCCCTGAGGGTTTTCGCGAATAGCGGGAAAACCGCGGCGCGTAGCGCTGCGAAATTTGGTACGGCCATTCCCTCATCAATTTTACACATGGTGTGCAAGTTTGAACCTCCTACCTTTTAAGGTCAGGTCACCAGGTCACTTTGAATGACCCAACCTCAAGTCACTTTTTTGCAACTTTGTCACCGTGCCAGAGCTACAGTAGATGTCGGAGGCCTTTGAAATCCGCAGGATGTTATAAGGTCATTAGTAGCTACAATTTGTATATCTCGGAATTTTGATATCGGTGACCTAAGGTCAGGTCAATTTCGCGACCTCCCCATTATAAGTCAATGGGGGAAAAATCAACTCCCTATTTTTACCACTAAAACGGGTCGGAATGGGCCCATATACCATACATGACTTCATATACGATCAGCCTTCACTACCTTGAGGTCTGTTTTGCTGTTGGGCAGCTGTGAGGTCATGTGACGTCATCAAAGGTCACCAAATGTTTTTGGCCAATAACTCCGTACAGGAACAAGATACAGCCGCGTGGATGGTCTCATTGTGTTCAGCTCGTCAAGACGCATCGAATGATATACATGTTGACCTCGAGGTCACGTGACCTGAGGTCAACCTTTGACCTTGACCTTTCGAGGTCAACATATATATCATTCGATGCGGATTGATGAGAGGATCACGATGATGCCCTTAGTTTGTTCCTATCTTGACTAATTCGAAAGTTATTCGAGAAAAACTCTCCATATCTAGCACCGCCATTTTGACTTTTTCGACCCCTGTGACGTCATCTTTGACCTGACCTGAAAATGACCTTAGTAAAAATTGTAGATCTTGACCGTGCGTATCCGATGCCGTTTACCGCTTGTCGCTATCTTGCTTCGTTCTCGAGATCTCAGGGGGGGGGGGGCGGTCATCCGCCCCCCCCCCCGTCGGTGCGAAGTTGGCGCAGACCCCCGTCGGTGCGCGGTTTAATTGTAGTTTTCTTCATCAGAAATAAGGATTTCTCACTTGAATGGTAAAATGTATTGGCTTTCATCATTTGCACCCATGCTGGTGCACATTTCGAGCTTGGTGGGCATGGGCTGGTGCAGTCTGGCAGTCTATGCTGTCATACTTTGCAGTCTGACCCAGACTTACTATCAGAGTTTCAGAATCAAGAGCTAGGATACCCATAGTTTTGGCAACGAGCCAGTATAAGGAGTCAGCTTCAGAATGAGTAAAGCTGTAAGCTGACTTAACTTTGTCTTCTTAACATTTGTTAAATTCTTGGACATCATTTGCCAAATGCCAAATAGTCAAGGATGATGATACAGACACAGTTTTGGCGAACAGTCGACACTCGGCAGTCCCTTTGTGTGCGTTGTAATTTGCATGAATGTGTAGTGTGTAGTGCATACACTTCCCATTGGCAACAGGAGTTAATAGCCCAGGTTCCGCAGTCGGAGTCGGAACAACGCCACCGCGAGCCCCAACCCCTGTGTGTATGCTGGGACCAAGAAAGGTGTGTTTTGTTGTTGGACAAGTTTTGACGCAATTAAGGCTGTGCGTTTAGAGTTCTCCGAAATGACTGAACTTAACGAACTACCACAATGCTCATTATGCCACCGACTTGTTGCGACCACATTGGTGATTTCAGTCGTGCATAAACGGCTTATTATTGGAATGAAACGGAACCCTCTCAAGCTCCTAATGAGCATAACTGTGAGGAAAGCTAGGTCCGTTTGGGAAAAAGCTATGGATTTGACGAGCGCCTGATGCTTTGGCCGTTTTGTGCCCTGTACACATCCACGTGTCGGGCCCTCTCAGCGCGGTAGGTAATGGACGTCCGGCGCGGCGCGGCCGGCCGGAGAAGGTCGGGGGTCGGCGGCGTCCGGCGCCGTGTTCCGGGACACTTCATTCTGCAGCATGTAGCGCGGCCCGGCGCCGCGGAACCAGGAAGGACCGACCCGGAAATGGATCGTCGCTGACATGCGGCCGTCATCCGGCCGAGCGGCACGAACACAGCGCCAGCTAGAAGAGGAAGAATTAAATTCAGTAGCATTTGCCTTGTTATTACCCGCGATAAACCCAGAAGAGAAAAAGATATGTTGGAGAAATGATAGGCTGTAGCCTGTAGGCATATGCACTTGTTGCCTGTTGGTCGCGAGAAGCTTCAGTGACATTGATTCCGACCAATGCTCAATGCTCATTTGCAATTGAACTTCGGCCTGCAAACTGCACTGATCATGCTAATACATTCCGAGAATTCCCTAAGGCCCGGGCCCACGCCATTTGTATAGTACCTATCAATATCGTGCGTTCACCGACAGAGCCATAGAAGTGGCTTAGCTCTGCACCATATGTTCCAAGTAACGAGTAGAACATGTTTTATAGCATACCGCCAGTCCATATTATATTCCTTCCGTTTCTAGAAGCATTGTTCTCTAATATGTCTGACATTTTGTTTCCAGGGCTAATCCTGAGAAGACATCATAACTGCGGCAATATGACAACCAAAATGCACTTGTTATTGCGGTCTGCTTCGTTTCTTCAGCAAAATCTACGCCAGCCAGCAAGTCCGAAATGTCTCCACCGAGCCACGCAGGTAAATCAAATTTTCACCTTATGAGATGTGGGATTGCCATAAATGCAATTTTAACATGACAAAAATATGCCTGATAGGTCACAAAAAGCTATTTAGTTTCTTTCTTTGTGAAAAAAACGATCATATTTTGTCATGGTCGGACGTTTTGGGAGTGGACGTGCGGCAGTGCCGGACGTTGCGGGAGTGCCCCAAATCACCCCCACCCCCTCCCCCTTGGATACACTTGTATGAAAGCTCACCCACACCTGTCGTAAAATGGACCACGTTTTCGTCCCTCTCAAACTCTGCCGCCGTACTGGCAGCAATGATACAGTCAGCTTTCCGGAAATTTTAATCTCACGAGCGAAAACGTTCATTGAGTTCTCGCACTGAGTCCCCAGCTGGGACGTAACGTTTGAGAGCGGCCTATCTGGGGTGACGGCGCCCGGACTCGACACAGCCCCTCACTTAGCCTCGGCCAACGTCCCGTCGCCATGGACAGCCACAGCCAGCGACAGCGGTTATCGAAACGACCTGAGCTGTCCTGGGACCCAACACTGCCCCGACAACTGGACAATGCCCTAGTGGCCTGGCGACTGAACACTGAGTGGTCCTCGACCTGACTCTGAAATACCCACCAGCTAACACTGGCCAAACTCCTGTCGCGCCAGCCGCCGTCAAACTAACCGGACCAGCCTCCCTAGAGAGAGGATCCACTTGGCTTCCTGGTACTCTGCTGACAGCGGACACGACCCCTCTCCTGGCAGTGTGTCCCAGCCTGTGCAGCCCCCCTCTCCGCCCCCCCCCCCCCCATATCTGTCATCCCCAGGGCCCAATTAGTTTGAATGCAGCGGCCGGCGGCGGATCCTCAGCCATTAGTCTGCACAAGTACGCTACGCAAGCGCATAACTTTGCGAATCTTAATGAGCGCCGAAAACTTTGCAGTGTTCTCCGCATGCAGGCTCTCAAGATTTGACTAGTTTCAGCGAACGTATCAAACCCACAGCGCAGGCTAGGTTTTATTCGTTCTGTGAATTGTCTGGTGTTCCATGGTTAGTAGCTTTTAATTCACGTAAGATAATAAGACAAGTCCAGGCGTTTTGCCACCATTTTATGCCAGTCAGTCGTGTCCGCATCTTCTCCGATCGTGCCTCCTGTATAGTTACTACGATGGCACCATCTAGTCAAGCTTGCTGCGTGAAAACCAACCACACGATGGTCGCGTTTTATTTGCGGAAAAATATTTCTTCTTCCGTCGACAAGCACTATTCAAAGCGACTTGTCTGATTTCCCGGATTTATGTGAATGACAAGAGCAATTTGGGGACCGTTCTTATATTGTTGCTTTTAAGTACATTTAGTTTCGTTTGTTCTGAGTTATTGGCACCATGTCGTAAACTGTTGACAATCGCTTTGATGTTTTTTCTTCAGATGGTTCGTCTTTGTAGTACTCAGGCCGGAAAGGTCCACGACACAGCACCAGGTGAGTACTGAGTAGTCACTTGTCTCAGTGTCTGTCCACGTGTCTGCCTGCCGCCATTCGGTCCATGCTCCTTCCCTCCTTCCTTTTTTTTTTTTTTTTTTTTTCAGTTTTATTCACAAAATGTTCACACACTGAGAAAGCATCAGCAACACTATTAAAAAAAAAGACGTATAATGAGAATACCCGCCCGTCTGGGCGGGCCGGGACGACACTTTCAGGCCATTGCCGCCCCAGCCCCAGGGAGAGCTAATAAGAGACACCTCCCTGGCCGGGGAGAGGTGTGAGATACCGTCCCCCCCCCCCCCCCGGCGCTCCAGACGGGCCGCCCGCCCCCGCCCGCGCTGCCCTGCTTAATAATGGCGTATGGATATAAAAACGCATAGGCAAACATTCGCAGGGGCAGCGCCCCTATCACGCCGACCGCCCGAGCGGGACGCCATCGCGCAGTCCGGCGCCCCGGCCGAGCGGCCGGCGGACCGACCCTGCATGCAGCGTGCTAGGGCCGCTGTGCAGGGCCGGTCACGGGTTAGCCCGGATGGGTTAGGGGCGGGGGCATCACAATGCACAGTCCATCACCAATGCCGATCAGTCAGCTGCGGATGGTCCGGGAGCACATTGTGCTCACACGGAGGCTGACGTACGTACACCATAACCATACACATACAGCGACGTACACAAATACATAACAATCCACGTTCGGAGCTGCTACTGGTGGCGGTGCTCCATCTCCACAGTGTTACGGAACGACAGTCCGAGAGGGGCCCACTTTCTATCGTGCTCATTGTTCTTATTATTAATTTTGGCATTATACTTCTCACTGTCCTTGTCTGCTTTCAGGATTGCAATTAAAGTTGAAATTGATGGTACTCTTTTTGAACAAATGATGTGCACTGCAGCACTTACACAGTGATTTGCCAGTGCATCATCCGTTATTCCCAAAATTACCTTTTGTAATGCGATTTTATCAGCTAGAAAACCAAGTTGCTTGCCTCTAAACCACGCTTTCAACTCATTCCATAGGCCTTTGGCTCTCGGACAGAACCAGACTCTGTGTTGAATGTCATCTACAGCATTTTAGGCGCAATTTCAAAAAGTTAAAGACCAAATTCAAAACGTTCACGTGCATTTTGAATGTAAACTTTTTGAATTTGGTCTTTAAATTTTTGAAATTGCGCCTAAAAAGGTGTAGTTGCCCACAATATTCACATTCATCTGAGTTCCTGATGTTCATCATTTTTAACAAGCTGTTTGTCGCTAGTATACGAGTAATTATTTTATGTTTCGTACTTCTGTACTGCATTGGAGTTTCCTTTAATGTTAAATAAATTTCACTCCAATTTAAGGCAGGGAACTCGCTTTCCCATTTCGCCTCCCATTTGTTGTTTTGGCATTCAGTTTTCTTTCTTACTAGGACATTGTACGCATTAATGACTCGAGTTTCTGGGCTTAAAATAAAGCCAATGACCGGATCAACAATTGGCTGTTCCACCTTGTGCCTGTCCTGTGATGTAACCCAATGATTGGGAAGACTACTAATTAAAGCAGAAAAGTCAAGAAAATTTGCCCCTACACGATAAGTCTGGTTAAACTCATCAAAAGTCATCAACATGCTGTTAGACTTCAAAAGATCATTTATAGTCCTTATACCACTTTCGTACCATCTCCTAACCCAAGTGCACTTAAACTTTGTGAAGTCGGAAAAGAAGATATTACTTCGAGTAATGTCATCATCTTCCATTCGGTAACTATCTCGGAGATCTGCTAGAGCCAGCATTACTTCTTTCCAGAACTGATTTCGAAGTCCATTTGTTTTCTTCCTAATCGCTTCTGCTCCTAAACCCCAGATAAATCCTATTTTTTGCATTTCTTTTTCTACAATATCGCCCCAAACATTGGGATTTATTATTGCTCTCTTAATCCAGCTAATCTTTAATGCCGATATATAAGAGTCCAGGTCAACCATGCCAACACCCCCCTTCAAAGTACTTTTGACCGTTGTTAACCGGTTTATCTTATCATTCTTTCCATTCCACAGAAAGCCAAATAGCATTTTCTTAAGACTCTTCAGCACAGCTGTTGTGGGTCTGGGAATTGACAGAAACAGATAACTGACTTTTGAAAGCAGGAGAGTTTTTATAATTGTAACCCTACCTTGTAACGATATATTGCGGTATTTCCATCTTCCTATTTCTCTTGCGACGTCATTGATTTTGTCATCATATGCCTTTATAACCTTGCAGAGATCATTTTCAAATGTTACTCCTAGAATTTTAACTGATTGACACCAATCTAATGAAACTTTCCTTTCTAGGTATTCCTTATTTCTGAACACTTCGCCAATCCACATTGCTTTAGTCTTCTCTAGGTTTGGTCTCTAGGCGAAGTCCAGAGTACTTGGCAAACCAACCAAGCTCTTGAAACAGTGCTCTTAAGCTATTTTCATCAGGGTGTAATAAACACACAGTATCATCGGCGTACATTGATATTTTGTGCTCTCTGTTACCTAGTTTCACGCCTTTGATCTCACGATTCTGAATGATCTTGTTCGCCAAAATTTCCATCACCAAAAGAAATAGATAGCAGCTCAAGGCATCGCCCTGTCTACACGATCTGCTTAGTTTAATTTCGCCAGAAAGATGCCCATTGTAAGCCACTCGTGCTGTTGATCCAACGTACAAAGCATTGAACCAACGTATTATATTAGCGGGAATGTCGTGTTTTTTCATTACCTCCCGGAGAAAACTCCAATTCACAGAATCAAAAGCTGCCTCAATGTCTAAACTGATGAGTATTCCGCTAAGTTTCTCATCATTCATCGTTTGTATGGTGTCATAGATCATTCTAATGTTATCTCCTATGAACCTTTTCTTCAGAAAGCCTGTTTGATGTGCTCCGATCAGTTTATTCAAAACTCCTTTGAGCCTATTCGCTATTGATCCTGAGATCAGCTTGTAGCATACATTGAGTAAATTGAGTAAGCCTATAAGATTTAATCTGATCTCGCGGTTTATTTGGCTTTGGGATAAGTACAATAATGCCCTCTTTCATAGTGTGCGGGAGTGTCCCTTTCTTCCAACAATCATCGAACATAGCTTTGAAAAAGCACTTCAACTCCTTCCAAAAGAATTTGTAAAATTCTACCGGGAAACCGTCACTACCAGGTGATGTACCGTTTTTCATGTTAATTAAAGTCTTCTCAATTTCCTCTATGCTTATTGGCTCCGCAAGATTCAATTTGTCCTCGCTAGAAATTTGCTTAATCATGAGCCCAGATAGGTACCCTTCAAAGTTTTCATCAGTAGCCGGGCCATCGTTACCACGAAATTTTCTTTGATAGTGCTTTTGGAAAGCGCTCAAAATATCAAATTGATCTCTTTTTATCCCTTGTTCTGTCTCAAGCTGCGATATTCGCTTCGCTTCATACCTTCTTTTTTCTAAAGTTAAGAAATACTTCGTTGGTTTTTCTGCATTGTTTCTCCACAGAGCCCTTGATCTAATAAGGCACCCGCTTAATTTGTGTTCCCTCATCTCTTCTAGCCTTGATTGGAGTAGTTGTAAGTTGTTCATTGACTCTCGCTCTCCCAAAGCATCAACTTCCTTAGTAAGCTCCTCAATTTCCCTTTGCAGTTTTTCCTCTTCTTCTCTAATTGCTCGCTGTTTTCTAATCCCAAAAGTTATCGTTTCTCTTCTAATGGTCATGAGCAACGTTTCGAAGAAGAGCGCAGGTTCTATTGTAAACTGAACTTTGTCTGGATTCTGTCTCACGTACTCAATTTGGTACACTGGCAATGCATATTCTTGCGCAACAGCAATTATGTTCTTTTTGACAGAGTCTACATACTCGCTATCTTTGAGTAATGACGCGTTAAACTTAAATAATCCCCTTCCTCTGCTCTGTCCAACGACATCGATTTGTAACACTACCAGTGAATGATCGGATCGATATCCTGGCTGGATATCACAATTCACTACATATCCTTGTAATGAACTACTGATCAGGAACATATCCAGTCTGGCTTGCTTTATAACCGGGTTTCCTACTCTCCATGTGAACCTTTTACTCACGGGGTTTCTGACTCTATAGATATCTACGAGGTCTTTTTGGGCCATGAGCTGTTTTACAGCTTCTCGGGCCCTGATATTATTAGCTCTCTGGTAGTTATAGTTGTCCTTTTCTTGGGATAATGTCAAGTTGAAATCACCCCCTATGATGATTGGTAAGTTGTCGTCCCCAACACAGTCATCTATATGAGCTAACAATGAGCGATAGAAATTGGGGTCGTCACTGTTTGGTCCGTACACATTAACCAAGCACATATCAAATGAAGCATTTACTTTTACCCTACTAACAATGACATTTCCATCCTCACTAATGTATTGTTTTTCAAACTGTGTATCTACGTTCTTGGTGAGGAGAGCCACTCCTCGAGCGTTGCTCGTGTATGGCGCCACAACAACATCTGTTCCCCAAGAATTTCTAAAATAGGGAATGCCAATCTTTCTACAGTGAATATCTTGAAGAAGATAAATGTTGACATTAAGCTTGCGTAAGTACGCGAATACATCCTTCCGTTTTTTGAAATTTCCTAACCCTCTACAATTAAACGAGGCAAATGTAATTTCACTTATCTAGAGAGTTAAAGATTAATAAACCTGGGTGGACTACTGTCGTCCTTGCGAGCATGGCGAACATGCCCCTTTGCACAAACACAAGGACACCGAGCCTATCATACCTGTACATACACTCCGACTCCACTCCCCACTCCCTCCCAAGTCCAACCATCCACATACACATTGAACACACATTCGTAACCAAATGAACGAACGTCAAACTCATGGATACAAGACCATACTCCATATCTAAGTGGTTGGAACCCTCCCTGCTTCTCCGAACACATTGTATGCAATGCATTTTACCACACACTCCTGCACTACTGATCATACCCTCCCCCATATGGGTCGACAGGGACAGGTACCCCACAGACCACGACAAAATATGCCCCATT